ACAGCTGACAAAGCTCAAAAGTCACTGATCACTTCCTGAATTTAAATAGGTGACCTTTTGTTACTATTCAAATCACGCGTACTTATATCGGTTTTACTTTCCTTTATGTTAAGTTCGGAAGAAGAGATAGCGGCTAATCAGGACTTCATCTTCTTGTTCATATGTTGCCTGTTTTCATTCAATATGAGTTTCTTTTGACATACCCATATTCGAGCAAAAAGTGTCACTTTTCACATTGAAAACAAAGTAAACAACAACGGAACCGACATAATATTAACGAGCATCAACCATGTCCAACTTTATGACGCAAAAGGAAACATTTCCAACCTTGTCATTTTAACGAACATGAAACCTTCTAATAATCTTCATGTATTTATAACATATATCCCTTAAAGACTGTTTGGTGCATTTATTTGTCATCTGCCAACGTCTTGCAAGGTCTTCATACTATTGGGAACAAGTAACTGAATATCTAATCAACTATGATGCATAAGTGTTTTAATTTGGAAGCACGGTTGTCACTTTCGAGAAATGAAACATTCACAATAGGAGCATCGAAATCATAACGCTAATAATACAGCTAGTCTGTCGTGTCTTTGATTTCCGATTCTGGTGGATATATGCGATTGACAGGTTCGGTTACCCTTGTTTTATCATAGATAAACACGTCATACTACTTGTTAAAATGACTTCTTATTTCTGTTGAAAAACTCTGATTATTGTTAAAGATGATGTGTTTTCAGAAAAGGACTTGTTCTTCGCGTAAGGTAAACACGAACACTTCAATTATTCGCCAACGTATGCTAGAAAAATTATTAGTGTCCCTGTGTAAGCTCCTAAAGTTCTATCAATATATACAGGTCAAGTTCGTCCGGACTACCTCGTATGAGCATACACGCAGTCGTTCATTATAGCCATCAGGTAAACAAATTTCCTTTGTCTATACTAGACATACATGTATGTGACTAACCAGTTGCTTAACTCCCTGTGTGAATTTGGACCTCCACATACCTTAGAATGACCTTGTGTCCACGCACTGCTTATACTGGATTTTTTTTTCACTTACGCTGCCATGGTGCCATTTTCACGTTGATGTCTTGACCGTAAAGGATATCATCTACAATAAAATCCTACCATCTTGCTCCGATTGACTTACGTGTACACATATGGTGGAGATGCTACAAAGAATGGCAATATGATAAGTTTCATCACATTGTTATACATAACTACATATCAACCGCTGTCCCATGAAGCCAACCTATCCTCACTAAACCATGGATGTCTCAGATCAAGATTAGGCGATAAATCTGATAGTATTCTGCTTGAAATATGAACTGCTTTAACTTGAATATCACCTAAAACCAGTTATTGTTGGCAAGAAATAGTTTACGTCTGAAATAGACATCAAGACACTTAATTTGAATTTAGCTTTTCACGTCTAGAATAGTTTATCATTTACATACAAAAGTATGGAAGTAACAATAATACAAGATGGGTTTTGATGGAGAAACGAAGTCAAATAAAATATCTTATCTGGTAATGTTCCATTTGATATTTTTGATATTGAAAACTTAAAAACAATAATTACATTATAGACTGTATGTTATCTAAATTATCAATCAGTATACTGATACTGAAATAGTTTTGAACGACAGGAAGAAAACGTTATCTATACTTCTTGTATGTAGATCACTGTAATATGAAATCGTTTTTGTATAACTTTTCGGGATTAAAATCATACGGATCTCCTCCGTTCACACATCACACGAATCCATTTAAACAACGTTTTATTGCTGGCTCGTTCAACCAAACATTTGTGAAAACTATTAACACTCTAACCATTCTAATCATTATCAAATCTTATTATAATCTGGAGTTACTTTTTTATTCAACAAGTGGAATTAATAGTACGTGGTTTTTAAATTACTCCAGCGATCATTTGACCAATCTTCAACACTTTAGTCTGTAAGACATTTGATTTTTTTTGCATTCTGTACAACACCACACTCCATTCTAAAATAATGGAACGCCGTGCTTCTCTTGTTATGAGAACCTTTGTTCCAAAGAAAGATGAACTCGATACAGATGTATAGTTGTGAATTGTATTTCGTGAAAAATACGTCCAAACCAAAGAAGAAATGTAGAGAGGACGGAATCATATAAGAGACAAATGTTTTTCGTCGGGTTGGGTGGTAAGATCTTCCAACACACTCTTGGTATACCTGTCGATACTAATTGTGCCACTGTATTTGATGACTCGTTTTTGCTTGACCTTGCAATGTCGTTTTTTTTTCAGACATGCTGATGACATCTGGTCAACAACAAAATGTATTGACCACTTCTATCATATATATATCCACCAGAAAATCAAGGACACTACATATTTCTACATCAGCCGTTTATCTCAATCTTTCTACAACGAGACCAACATGGACACCTTTCCACCAACCTGTACAAGTGTGATGATTTCAATTTCCCTTCTGTGAATTGGATGCTTTACGATCATCGTAGTGACTTCACAGAGAAATATTCTATTTCTTTGTGCGATAAGAACCTAGATGTTTGTTAGTGTGCCTGTTGGTTCCGCCTTTGTATACTTTGACTCTAGTTACTTGGATTGCCCAAGACTTATATGGAAGGTGTCATCGATGAAGCAAAAGACGCTTACTCTCTTCCGGAACACCTGATCTTATTCTCCTTTTTCAAGAGTTTCCGTGTTAATCGTTTGTTCATATGAAGCCCTAGTTTTATAGAATTGGAGATTTTATTATGATTATGTTGACATGTTGGTAATTTATTGAAAAGCTATTTCTAGCGGCATTAAATTATTTTCTTAGAACAACCAAACTAATGAGGTCTTTCAACCTCGATACACCAGGTTAACACTCATTATCTCTCTCTCTACCCCAGAAATAGTTCATGTCCGCATTGAAAGGTTCCATGTGCGACAACTTGTGGATAAGACAAGAAGACTTATTTGATTCTTCGATGCACTTCGAATGAATCTCGAAGTCCCATAACGCTATGTTGTACTGGTTTTGAAGTTCGGTGTCGCTCCTTGTAATCTTTAATTTTCATTACTTCTGTATTACTCTCGTTGTCTTAACATTTTGTAAACGAACAATATATACTCAGGTGAATCCTGTTTGTTATATGGGACATCAAAAAGGCACAGATCCAGACCTCTCACATATGTACTCCTATATAAGGTATTTTTGTTGCCCGAGGCACAACGCAACACTCGCCAATCTCTGAGATGTGGAACTATATGATAGAAAGACTAATTAATGCAGGGTGCAACTTTATTCGAAAAATGTCGAAATGAAAATTTTATAATCATCGATCAATTTTAACACACCTGTGATAACTAATTAGTATCGGGAATTTTCCAATGAATTTTCAACCAAATCGCACAAAATGTGCGACCCTATCACTCATTTGTGCGTTCGATATTGTAGACTGTGTGCGTGCACACCGTCCGCATGAAGTTTTTCGCGTGTTTTGCATTACCGCATCTGTAGGTAATTAGGATATTTGGGTCAGAATCAAGGCTTTGCCGAGGTTTTGTTCCCAAATGCATATTATTCTGCATTGCTACATAACTATTTTTCTCATACCTCTTACTCATATAATTTTGAAAACCCAACGATGTTCATGTAAATGTTTGTCTTTATTTATTTTTTGTTTGTTTTTTATTTACGAGATGGAGTAGGTCGCTGAAGGCAAAATGATCTTGATCAGTTAGGCAATCAGTCTGTGATATCACTTCATTCACTATTCACGTGCGTACTTATAATTGGGTTTTGGGTGATTTAAGTTTCTAGGACTTGTTTTAATGCATTTTAAATACTGGCACGGTTCAGAATTTAGGAATAAACTTTATGATTTGTTCTAAACAATCAGATATATGAAATTATGAAATTTATTGTGATAGGGGATGAATGATTGTGCCAGGGGTTGAGTGATCGTATTTTCTGGCTTAGATCCTGTAACATCCTTACATAGGCTAACGACTCGGATGGGATGAAGTTACAGAATCTTAGCCCTCGACTGAGATACTCCGAGGGTGTGTTATCATGCTAGGGGGTAAGGTATTGTGCAAGGAGGTGAGTACACACACCCTTGTTGATTTTGTCATTAATTACGGCAAATTTTGATTTTCCACAAACATCTGCAAACATTTACGTATGCATATATGATTTGTGTCAGTTTTGATGTTTTTTTCAAACATTACATAAAGTTAACATTAGAAACATGTATATTGAAGAAATCAAACTACGCTAGATCAGCACCAATATTTTCCAGATATGTAAAATCCAATATTTACTGTTAGGTGTAAAGCTGACATATTTACTGGAAGATGTATATTTCTAATATTTACCGGAAGATGTTAAAGTTGATTATTAATCGGGAGGTGTTTGGCTCCAATGCTTACCGAAATCTGTTAAAACTCTGCTAAACGGGAGTATGCGGAAAGAAGCACCTGTATTTGTTATTGACCAAGAAAGTTACAATAGAACTCCATTATGATTTTTTAAAAAAAAAAGTCACATACAACGTATGTATTTCTTATTTTAGCTAAAATTGTATTTGAATGAACATGTATTTTCAAATATTTTCTCCGAGTGCTTTATTCTCTACAAAACATAGAAATCAGAACATGAAAAACACCCTGAATGTCAAGTTTGTGTCTCTTTTTGCAACTTGGAAAAAGTTATGATTTAAAAGCGATAAAGGATCAAGAATGAAAGCATTATGATATGATCAATTTATATACAAAAGATGGTAGCAATATGATTAACCATTAATTGTCTCTGTTACGCTCAACTCTGAGCTATGATATATGGCATGGTCGCTTAACGTTGTTTTGCCATAGTTCCTAGGCATAAGCTCTTTATTACGAGCATGGTTATTAAGTCTCAGTCTCGACAGATATTGTTGCTCTCTCAGAAATGCAGTAGCCACGGGCCCGTGTTAGGGAGGTTGTCACCCCATCTCCCTCAGCACTCTGGTGTAGACTTGTCCGTCTTTGTTATATCCTCCGAAGCTTTATACTGACAAAAGGGTAAGTACTTCATCCCTCTCCACGACAGCCAGCGCGCGGGTATAAGAGGAAGGTACACTTCCAATCCCTCACTGTATGTCTGGGATTGTCCAGTTTTCTCCGGCTCCTGCCATGCTGTTATACCTCTTTCTTTCGCTGTACCTGTCAAAAGATATTGAACAAAAATACCAACTGGTAAAATGAGTCATATTTCAAAGTCCAATTAAATAAAACTATCACAGGATATGAACGAGAGATTTACACGCAGACTCCTTAAAAAAAGTACAAGGGAATCAGACCAGTTTCTTCCTCAGAACACCCGTAATGTAAATTTTGAATTTTGGTCAGTCCAAATGCGTAATGTAACGTTCCCAAATGAGGGGAAGGTATACAACAACGGAACCAACAGGCAAACTAAAGAGCATCAAACACGTCAAGCTTTATGCCGCATAACGAAATTGAATATTTCCCCTAGAGGTCACCATATATGTGTTTACTTCCTTGTACGTGTCTTGAATAAATATAACTTTATATGCAGGTGACATATATCATGTAATCTGTCATGGTTATTTCGTAAATTTTAAGATTATTTGAAATCTTACAGAATATTCGAGCACGTGAAAAGCTATAAATTACTGTTTAAACATGGTATTATAGCCAAATGCAAATTTAACATCTAATGCCACCATGTTTCAATAACCACATGATCTCGTAGTTCTACCAGCGGAATTAATATGTCTTGTCGGCACAAAGGAGCACGACGTGCTGACGGGTACATGTGGTTGTAAATGGTGAATCGTTGTCACTGTCTGACTGTGCACCCGAGCAGTGTAAATGCAGACTAAGGAAAAACGGTGTTTGGTATCATTACAAATGATAATTCATGCTGGGGAGACAGCAGCGCAGAGCGTTGTCACTGTCTAGCTGTGCACCCGAGCAGTGTGGATCTTTAAATGCAGACTCAGGAAAAGCAGTGTTTTGTATCATTACGAATAATAATATATGCTGGACAGACAGTAGTGCAAAGCGATTTTCATATAACATATACCTACAATCTGGTGCAGACTGTAGCTTTAACGCAGGCCCACCGTAACGCCTAGACCATCCTTAGTTGCAATGTATTTGTCAAAACAGTAACTTGTTTCCGGCGGCTTTTTTCGACAGGTTTGTTTTTTTAGTCGCAGCAGACTATTACATCACCAATATTGATACACTTTTGTGCATTGCAACAGTGCATATCGTTGTCGTACATTACGTGTTGTAGACCGTGTAGTTCATTTACCCGAACATTGAAAAAGACAGTTCTTTAAGGTCTCCACGCTACTACGGTACCTAAGGTATCATGGACTACTATGGTCTCCAAGGTGTCACGGGCTAGTATTATACTGTCTCCAAGGTGTCACGGGCTAGTACACTCTCTAAGATGTCCTGGGCTACAAGAGTTTCTAAGGTGTCAAGATCTAGTACGGCATATAAGGTCTCATGAGCGAAGGAGTATTGGTATACTGAGCTTGTCAAACATTCGCATTATTAAACATACCTGTTGATGATACAACGGCATGACGTCGGCTGAAGCCTCGAGCATGGTTTTATCTTCCGTGTTTATTATCAGTGTCATGCTTTTCCTAATACTGATGCAAAAGACGACTGCTGTAAATTAGCATTCTTTTGCGATCAGAATAGTTTTCCTATTTCTGTATCACAATAATATAATAATATTCGCTTTCATGAAACAGACAAAAGTATACATACTTATTATCCATGTGTTATTTGCGATGATTTGCAGGATAAAGATTTAGTGTACATGTTTAACGATGATCAGATGATTTACCTGGTACGGTGTTATCCAGAAAGGCAGCTACTGCCCCACCACACAAGATAGGGTTTGACAGCAATGTCTTTGTTATATTGTCGCTATAGGCACTACCTGCAAAAAGAGGTTATTCTTAACAAAGAAACTGATGTTGACATAATGATTGTTAAACGAAGAATATCAGACGTCATATTTATGTACTCCAGATATAAACGCACAATGTACATACACGTCATTGACAAGGCTCCTGATAGAAAGAACCGATAAATCTAATCGTGAAACACGGTGCAAAACCTTTGATACATATTTACAAAATGATACAACAGAAAAATTTTCCTCATTTCAAAGAGTAAATCCTTAGATTTATTATCGATAGTTTACAATGCCACATTATGAAATACAATCATATACAAAATATTTCGAAAACATCGAAGCAATAGTTGACATACATAGCAACTTGGAGACATGATCGAGATCAGTTATGAAATCTCAAAGTGTACACATCGAAGATGAATTGAAATTGCATACGTTGCTACTTGAAGATCTGAACGAGACAAAAGTTGTCGTCGTCACATACCTACGGAAGACATTGTTTACAGAGCAAAGAATAAGGTGACTGAAGACGTGCATGTTTTGTTTGATTGCAAACACCCGAGACGATGAAATGTACAATTCTCCATGTTAATATTAGTTTATATTGGGTCTGTAAAGGTAGTTGTCCTCATATGCTTTCAACCCTCTTAATGCCATTCTTGAGTGCGATTAATTACTTGTCGTTCAATGTACTGCTGACATTTTGACTACGTCACTCGCCTGTTTGGAGATCTTCCGGATATTCCTCTAACCAGTAGGGGACCATGAGACCCACAAATAAAGAGGTCCCTAAAATAGCGAGATTCCGATTAGCCGAAAGTGATATCACCTGGAGGTTGGAAAGGGCAATGCCATTGAACATTCCGTACATGACGATCATGGCGCCACCGAGAACCGGCACTGGTAAGGTTATGAAGACAGCAGAAACTTTTCCGACAAGGCCGAATACTACATAAATGAGCGATGTCCACAGTAAGACGTCACGACTCGCCACCTAAGTAGAGAGAACAAACACTATTGGCAAACACCTGCAGGGTATAGACTAAGAACAACATAGCGAAAACATGTACCAGCAAATTATCTTGATAAAGAGGTATAAAAATTGAAAAACATTTTGAAATCGGAGACAAGTCTTACTGTTCCAAAAAGGAAGGTAAAGATCCAAGCATATTTGTTTTGTTTTCAAGTTTATGTAACTATTAGGCTATTGTGCTATAATAATTATGTGCAACGATTAATTGATACAAAGCCAAAATTGCATGTTTTGATTCACAGAACATGCGCTAAACGTTGCAATGATCCATAATTACATTTTAATTCAATGTACCTGTGGCTACATTATATCATTTACACCGCAAATGGTGTCAGGACTTGCGTCGCAGTTTACATTTATATTTCTGATGATTTCCACCTTCTCCATGTTCAGTTCTTACCTTTGTAAGACCCAAGGCTCCAATGTTGCCGCCGTACGTTGTGGTAGCATGACCACATCCCAAGATTCCTGACAAAGTGCTCCCAAAGCCTTCTACTGCAATACCTCTGTTAATGGCATAGCGGGGCGGTGGAGGCACGTTACATGTTCTTGCACATGCGTAGTAATCTCCGATGGAATCGAGGATGGAAGTAAATGTTCCGATCAAGAAAGCAATAAATACCCCAGTGTCGAAAGATGGCGGTCCAAATTGATCTGGAACAGAAGATGAAATGTAAACACCTTATACAGTATCATAACATTTGAATTTAAGTATTATCGGTGTAACTATTTTCCAAGCTGATTTGGTGGTAAATGATACATTACAGTACAACGGCACATATATTAACTTTAACTTTTGTTGTGGTGAGGATATTTTGAAAGCTGAATGATAGATCTTGTTTAAAAGAAAAAAAGTTGCTGCACTCTACTGCTACAAGCGTCACAATGTGTTAAAATGTTAAATGCTAAAATGGAAATGTAATAAGTGGTTTTCCGCGGATAATATGGATTTAGAATTTGAAATAAGTATTTTTATCGTCACAGTTATATTCCTCATATTCGCAATATTTTTGTATGTTTAAAGCAAATATCTTCTGCGCGAGCGAAAGTAGCGCTATTTTTTTTTGTGATTACACCGCTAAATAGATTTGTAAACTAGAGGAATATACTTGGGTAAGGAACTTTGAACCATTCGGCCTTTGTGACAATGTCAGCTTGTGCGTCCGTCCTTGCCATGTACTCTGCCTTAGACGGATCATCTGTAAGTACCCCTGTCAACGTCAACACAGCCGACAAACTCCAGCCGACGAGTATACCAATCAGAATCTAAAACACAAACAGACCATAAAAAGTAAGACAGAAAAGAACACACAGTTTGGAATTACCGCGATGAATGTAAATGATAAAAAATAATATTAAAGATTTTTACAACAAGGATTTTGTGGCATATTTTTGAAGCATGATGCGTTCAATAAATATCAAACAGTATTTGCTTAATATCTTCATTTGGTTCATCGACGTTATCCACAATGTAAATCAAAAGCGCACAACTACATATCATCAAAAACATAATTGAATAAATAAACAAACAAACAAAATTCAATTCCGTGTTATTCTTATGTTAGGAAATGTCCTCTTAAAACGGTATGTATTCTGTTTCAATTTCCATAATTTGTTCTGTTATGTCTAAATGCTTCATTTCTTCTTTATTCTATTAAATGTCATATTAATGTAATTTTAACTTCTAAACTGAAAAGGTTTCTCACCGTTTTTCCCTTCGTCTATGCTTTTTTACCCTTAACACGATTCATTTCTCTATTCAAGATTTCTTATGCCCCCAACCTTTAGTCAAACTTCAAGTTTGTAAATGGTGTATCTCTATTCTCTTCAGCCTGTTTTGTTTACAATAGAATAGGACATTCTTTCTTCTCTGCTTTTCATGAACACATGCTGTAGAAAAAAATCGATGTATTTATGACGTATCACCTTTTCATCGGAAGTGTCTTCAATGCAATTGATTATGAATCGATGACGCATAATGTTGTTCTAATGTTATCAATAGTTATACTGATTTTTTTTATATATTTTTTTTAATTAATATTTTCGTTAATATTACAGCAGATTCTTAGTCGTTCAAACTCATCTTTATCGTTATCGCTCATGTTCGCATTTAATTCATGGAACCAGCAGGAAGTTGACTTTAAATCCTGGTTTTATCTTATATTTGTACTGTACTACTTACATTAGAGAAAGTATTGAAGCAAGTTTTATGCATATTGAGCATCAAAATGGCTACCGAGTAGGCAACACACACTCAGATTGCTCTTATGTTTTTGTGGATGTAGTTATGTTTCTATTAGGAATTCCATTTACAGTTTTGTCACAAAGACGTATAAGTGTTTTTGGAACACACCAATAGTTTTGGATTCTGAAACAGAACTTTGGATTTGATGATTTTGAAGGATAAACTGATTTAGAAATATGGTGATTGTGAATTGTATTCACCTGTAGTACTGTCACCTGTATACCTGGATTACCAAAGGAATATACACTTACACAGATACCTATTGTTCTTACCTGAATTTACCTGTGCTATAAATGCATGTCTACCCACACCAAGACTGGGAGATCTAGAGGGAGTCCTTCAACAAGGCAGAGTGTTGTAGTAGATGAAGACATCAGAGAGGGTATAGCAAAGATAAAGGAACAGTTGGATAAGGTAAAAAAGGCAGACTTAACAGCATTAGCTGCAGGATTGGTGAACTCCAAGGACATTCAGGAGATAGTGAGTAACATAGTGCAAGCCATGAGGAAAGACCTGGAGAGAGATCTGGAACAGAATATTTCTGACAGAATGAGACAGGAGTTGGATACGGTTAACTCACTTAAACACAAATTACAAGAATCTCTACAAGTAAAACAGAGAGAGAGATACGGGTACTGAAGCGACAAAGCATATAGAGACAGAATGAGGTAGAGTACTCTTTCAAAGGAGATGGCAGAAGTTAAAAGGATGGCTCAAGAGGGTATAAAGCAGAGAAATTACAATGACTAGTACAGCAGGAGAAATAACATCAAGGTTATGGATTTTAAGGAGATGGAAAATGTGGAAGATGAAAATAAGAGAGACTAAGTGAAAGATTTTTGTGATGTAGTTAATAAGAAGATCAGTCAGCTTATACAGAGAGAGGGCTTTATTGCTGTCCAAAGACTTCCAGGAGGGCTACAAGAGGAGCCAAACCTGTAGTGGTAAAATTTGTTAACAGGTCAGAAACAGAGTGATAAGACAAAGGAAAGACTTAATCGGGACAATGAAGCTGGTATATAATGTTACAGGGGACAATACAGGATTAATAAACAGACTAAAGAGTGACAATCGCATTGAAAACCCGTGGTACTTTAACGGTCGTGTCTTCGCGGTCTGTGGTGGTGTGAGGAAACCTTTTGGCTTGTTCCAAAGTGTGGAAGATGTGTTCCAAAGCTGGTAGACAAAAGTGTAGTGTTGCTTATGCTTTGTAAATGTTTTTTTTTTTTTTTATTTGTTTATTTATTTATCTATTTTTTGTGAGCAATTTGAAATTCGTGTGAGTGATAATGTGGGATTTAAGGAAGCTATATTTACAAGGTAAGAATTTTTGTGTGCTATATTACTATCTGAAGTTTTTGCATACATGCGTATGTATATATATATGAGTATATTGAATGGTCAGTTTAGATATGATTATCAACATAATTAGGTCTTGATATGGGAAAGTATATTTGAAAATTGGTATTACACTGAAAGTATGTATTACACTGAAAGTATTGATTTTGATAAATTTAAAAAGCTTCAGATTCAGTCAATAAAGTCTATGAAATAATTTGAGAATACAGCAAAATTTTAGGGGTTAGTCTCTTAATTATCAATCCATCTATTTCTGTATATTTTTTCATGTTATTCTCCTTTAAAAATATAGAGAGCATGAGAGCAAAAGTAACAATCAGATGTGCTCAGCCAATACAGTCGTAGACTTTCTAAATGTATTGTGTAAGGGTGTAGGTGTTATCCGGGGGAGGTGGGGACAGGCGTGGTGTGTGGGGGTTCCAAGGGCAGGATTAATGGGCTACTGTCTGTGTCATCCTAGTTGCTATGGGTAGCATAAAATGTATGTCTATGAATGTAAGGGGTTTATATTCTGATGCCATTTAAAGGAGAGATGTGTTCCACTGGGCCAAACAAGAAAAGGCAGATATTATCTGTTTACAAGAAGCACATTATACAGATGAAGTAGAACAATCATGGGAAAAAGAATGTGTATTTAGCAACTTTAGTTCTCGATCAGCTGGTGTAGCAATATTGCTTAGAAATACATTTGAATTTTCATTACATAGTAGTAGAATAGACAATGCAGGTCGTTTCATAATTTTAGATATCGTAGCTAATCAGAAAAGTTTAACACTAGGTAGTGTCCAAATCAGGATTCCAGCCTTTTTACAACAATTCTGAATAACCTGCAAGCTTTCAATATCTCATCAGTACTCTTACGTTGTGATTGGAGTGCTATTCAGGATAAGAATATAGATACGCATAATATATGTAACAATAATAATCATAAGGCACACAAAATGGTAAAAGACATAATAGATAAATATGATTTGATTAACCCTTGGCGGCAGTTACAACCAGATTTAAAATCTTTTACTTGGAGGCAAAGAAATCCAGTAAGGCAAAGTAGACTCTTACTTATAATGAAATATACTTGAGAGCAAAGGATTGCAAAATTATACCAGGATATAAAACTGATCATTTATGTATTGTTTTGGAAATTAATTTGAAAAATTCCGAAAGGGGTACAGGGTATTGGAAACATAACATGTATCATTGTTGAATGATTTAACTTACATACAATAAGTAAAAGATTGCAATACTGAAACCGTTGATATTACACTTCTGGGGATAAGGACAGCCCAGAAACATTAGCAATAAGAATAAAATCCTGAACATGGAAATTAGGTCTACTACAATGACATATTCAATAGCTTCAATCAAGAATACCAGGAAGGAAGAAAACAGGCTTGAAACTGATATGATTAAACTAGATAATCAAATCAATCTGGTCACCTAATAGAGAACTTTGTAAACAGTATGAAAATAAAAAACAGCAGTTAGAGAATATAAAAAAAACACAAATCGAAGGATTAATTATAAGATAAAATGCCAATAGGTATGAGAATGGAGAAAGAGCAACCAAATATTTTTGTAATATAGAAAAAAAGAACTTTATAAATAAATCTGTAACAGAGTTAATTACAGAAGATGGTAGCATTCTCGATAGTCCAGGGGAAATAATCCAGGCTGAGGTCGAATTTTTTAAAACACTTTGTAGTTCTAAACAACCAGATTCAATACATGTTTAAAATTAATATTGGTTAAAACATCAGATCAGGTTAAATCAAAGTGATAAAGATAGTTGTGAAGGAATTTTATCAATAAACGAATTAGATAAGGCTTTGAAAAATACGAAAAATGATAAGAGTCCTGGTTCAGACGGTTTTGGAGCAGAATATTATAATTTTGTTTGGAAAGACATAGGAATATTTTTTATGTAGATCAATAAATCATGCTTACAGTACTGGTCATCTTTCAGAATTTCAAAGTCAAGGAATTATCACATTTATGCAATAGGAAGATAGGCGATACTTGAACAACTGGAGGCCAATATCACTCTTAAACATTGACTACAAAATAGCTTCGGCAGCCATAGCAAATCGAATCAAATTGGTACTTCCAAACAACATAAGCGAATCTGAAACTGGTTTCATTAAAGATAGATTTATTGGGGACAATACTTGAATATTATATGATGTAATGCATATAATGGAAGAAAAATAAGGCATTGGAATCTTGAATTTTGTTTCATCATTAAGAAAATGGTTCAAGATCTTTATACTGAGTCTAAAAGTTGTATTATTAATAATGGTCACTTGTCACCCTTCTTCAATCTCGAGCGTGGCTGCCGCCAAGGAGACCCATTATATCCTTATATTTTTATAATTGCTTTTGAAACATTAGCTCTTTCATTAAAATCGGATGATGGTATAACAAGTTTAGTTTTATCTGGAAAAGAATTTTAACTTGAACAATATGCTGATGATGCTTATCTCCTCCTAGATGGTTCCACATATTCATTATCAACAGCTGTACACATTAAGGAGATTTTGCTGTTATATCAGTGTTAAAAATTAATTTACAAAAGTCAATTCTTTATTGGATTTGAAACAAGAAATTGCAGAAGAAAGAATATGTCCATAATTGAATTTAAAATGGTCAACTTCAAGCTTCTAGACATTACTTTTTCACTTCATTTACAGGATATGGAAAGACTCAATTTTGAAAAAAGAAATTGCAGCACATAATTTCAGTCATAAAAAATATGAAAAATAAATTTTGGCAGGACATTTGTTTTGCTTTATCAGAAATACAGTTTGAGATCACATATTGTCGGCAAGAGTTTGATAAATTTGGTTTCATATAATAAGATAAGAAAATCAATTTTGTGGAAACAGAATGGGTTGAAAGTAATTAGTGATCTTTATAAAAAATGGAAGTTTGAAAAACTATATTGAATTCTCTGATATACATTCGTTTGATTTTATCGAGCATTTGACTTCAGTTAATAAGTTGGAAAGGAAGTGGGGATAGAATTAAGACAAGCAGCAGCAAATGGTAACACTATTGCACCTATTAAACAGAAGGACATCATTTCCTTAATTATAACTAAAAAACGACTTGAAGTGTGTTTATAAAATGTTCCTTGAAGGAATAGTTATTAGGCCAGTAAAGAGTAAGACAAAAATCAATTTTGATGAAAGCAAGAAATGGGATGATATATAAACTAGTTCTTTTTAATGTACCAGTGAAACCAAACTTAAAGCATTTCAATATAAAATCTGTCATAGAATTCTTTCCACGAATTCTATTTTAGTAAAAATGAAGATAATATCTAGTGAGCTTTGTAGCTTCTGTGAACAAGAACCAGAAACAGTGGAACACATATTCACGGAGTGTTATTTCATAGTCCAACTTATTGAAGAATTTACTGCTTGGTATGCACTATACAAAAATCAATTCAATCTTTCCAAGATGTAGACATTTTGTTTTGAAATCCAAGGTTTGGGCTTTGTTTAAATCACTTCATTTTATTGTTAAAAAACACATTTACTAATGTCAAATGAAAACTTTGATATTTGTTAAAAAAAAATTAGTAAGACAATGCAAATTGAAAAGTGGCTAGCCATAAAATACAATAAAAATAGATTTTCAGAAAAAATGGGGACGTTTTGAGGATGCATTGGACATTTAGAAATCTTGTTGTTTTCCCTTCATTTACAACATTTATAATCCCCTTTTTCATTTATCAAGTATGTGAAAATGCAATACATATTAGCAGGGATGACACAGTTTGGTCATGCCTTCTGACCTTAATTTCCTGGGGTATCCATTTTACACCGAGTTTAGACCCTACCTATTTTGTGCATATATGTAAAAAAAGGAAGGATTGTAACTCATGTGCAAGGAACATTCAAGACTGAAAGTGTGTGTGTAGGTGTGTGTACATGTATTCAATAGTCAGGAATATGAGAAGTGTGAGTGATGTGTGTAAGTATGAGAGCCCTCCTGTGTGAGGATATATTTGTCATGTTATGTATGTCTTGTCAATAAAATGTTTGAAAAATATTTTTAGGCATATTTATCAAACATTGACCTTAGATAAAGTCAGCATGGTGTTACATGTATCGACCAAGTAGGGAAATATTGACTGAGGATGGCCTACACGTGACACGTGACGATCTCTTGACTAATAGGAACAAATGTTACAATTATGTGTGAAATAATTTTAACGACGTGAAACTGTCTGAGCAGAGTTACTGGCTCATTTCATTTCAGGAAAAGGTGACAGAATTTACAGTACAGTTACCGAGAAGACTTGGTGAAAGGGATACCAGTATATATGAAATCCTTTTTTCCTCGACCACGCTGGGAAGGGCGTCTTCCGTTTGCTGAGATACAGAGACAAGACAAGAGCGGTGGCCGCTGTGCTGTATAACAAGAGAAGTCGTAGGGAGAGTGTTATATTGTAAACACGAAGTGATGAGGTATAAACATCTGCTACAAGAAATATTACAATTATGTGTGAAATAATTTCATTGTCATCAAGTGTCTATCCTTTTCATATTCCTATTCCAGTCGATCTTAATTGTTGCCTTAATCATGCCAAGTTAACAAGGACTAAATTCCCAGAACAATTGTTATCATCTTTGTAAACAACAGAAACATAATTGGTTAAACAATACCTCGTTTATTGCGAATTAGATTTTCCTCATACTTACGCAATGGACAATCCCCAATGAGTTCTTGCAAACTTCGCATTGGCCTTTGATATGAAAATACCACCTAATAACATGACCGGAACGACAGTAACGGGTCCAACAAACCTAAGGAGAATGCCGGCGGCACCGGTAAGTCCAAGCAGAGTGTGGATAATCCCAACCAAGATCAAACACCCCTGAAACTGTTCAGGAAAAATGAAACCCATTCGATGGATAAATATATGGGAAATCTAACATAAACGTTAAAATGGTCTTATACAATTATAACTGTTCAATCGAACAAGCTATGATCCTGGAACACGTAAAAATGTAGGGAACTGTAAATTACAAACGGTATAACTTATAAATCAGGTTTCGAGCAATACGTGTATACTGACGGAAAAAAGAAGTTATATTTACTTAATAAAAAAAATAATAATTAAGAATATTCTTCTCTTTTTATTGCTTTTTAGTTTCTTGTTTGATAGGTGAAACACATTCAAATAGAACAGCTATAATGAGTTGTATTCATTGTTTATGAAGGCGTGTTCAGCACACAAATACGAGACCGCCGAAGAACAGAACATTCGCATGTGATGTCACGTCGGTAAAATATATAATGACGTCGTATTTACGTCATAAGCTCTAGTCTTCTTCATTGACTGCCAGAAGCATTCAAGGACGTAGACGAATCAGTACGAGAGCTGTGCGAAACTGATTGCAAGGTGTAAACACTTGCCCGCGACGTCCCATCAGTTTACCAGCAATTCACCAACAAGGACTTGTCGGACGTGATATTGCTATTTACAGACTTGACTTGATACTAATAAAGGTCATGTGCGGGAGTACCATTTGCCGGAATAACGTTAAAGTAACGTTTGTGTAATTCAGCGTCGTCGGAAGCATTATGGTCTTGGGTTGTATTACAACGTAATACTGTGAAAGGCAATTTGACCGGTATGAGCTACCGGGACGAAATTATACGTCATCACATGTTTGAGTAACATTACTTTTCAGCAGGACAAACCATGACGGCTTCACACTGCACATGTCATGATCTACCAAACTTCACTTTGAAAATGTAAAGTTATGATAGTTCTATTGATTGCATATATTACGCGTAATGTAGGTCATGTGCGCAGTAGCATTCATTTAGCGACAGCATTTTCACTATGTAAGGCATCATGAGTCAGATGTTGAGACCAAATTGTTATTCTTTAAGGACGTATTCCTTACCTCGCGCAGTTTGGAAAGGGCAAGTTCTCTTTTTATTTCCAGGAGATGCAGGTTTGTTGTATTGCCTTGGATACTGGGACCAACGTCGTCCATTGCCATACTGACATTAAGAGTCGGTCTTCTTCTCAACTCTGTAAATGAAAGGAAGATCTTACATTTAGGACTATGTTATAATTAACTTCCGTCACAACATTACTTATGTACCTGATAACAAGGCAAAAGTCACATGGTTGGTCTTACCGTCTGTGATTTTACAAGTATCTGGATTTATCATTTGCAAAGCCACCAACGGCACCACATAATCGGCTGCAGGACCTTGGAACAATGGAAGTCTACAAAAATAATATGGAAATTTCAAAACTTCGAAATTAAAGTGCAATATGCTACTCCTGTATGTAATATTGACATTGTTCATGCCATTCCTATTACTCATTCATATCAATTGTTCAATGAAAAATATCACGAATTTCAGGGAAATAATCACAGGAAAGAAATAAACAATATGTAAGATGAGAATAGATTCCATGCTTTTGAAGATATTAATTGAGAAAAAAGAGATGAAAGGTCAAAATCTAAACAAAATTAAAGAAGGAACGAGAAAAACTAACAAACCATTTTCATTATCATGGAAAGCAGATATTCAACGTCAAAGATCACTCCCATATATTATTTTAAAAGGCGGCATTTTAGTTTCCAATCATGTAAAAATAGAAGCGAAATGGGTTGTTTTAAAGTAAATAGTATAGTAGAAATGATGACATTTAAAATACTTAGACATTTTTTATCCAATTACTTTAGATTTTTTCAGTCACCTCCTAGGCCTCCAAGTTTAGGTCCTCATCATAATTGACAAACCAAGATACGAAACAGGTTCATGATGTGGTTTGATTCAATGCTTGACGCTTCTGAATCTAGCTTGACTCTCCTGTATCTTGCTCTAAGTTTCTATTAAGTGGTGCTATTTAATAGTGTGTCTTCTGTACAATTATTGCAGATTTAGGAGACCGCTTCCACTTTGGAGATACTTGCCGGACCCTAGTCCAAACCGAATCTCGTAATCAAAGGAGAAAGAAGGGAGGATGACTTGCCACCGACCCGCCATGAAAAGAAAGCAAACTGGCGATCGCTAAACGATAGGCAGATATTACTCAACACCCAACGATGGAAATTTGTAAACACCTGAACCGATCGCAAAATATTTTTGTTCGTGTCTGGTAGACAGCAGGAAAGGGAAACCTGATTGATTGAACGATTCAAGCTGACACGTACATTAACGGCCCGTCTGAGCCAGGCCTCATATTGTCTCAGCACGTGACAAAGAAGGGTTTCTAGACTAGCGTACATCTTCCTTGACCATGACTGATGAAGGAGATTCGCTCTGTAGGAGAGAGGCTGATTTTTTGTTTTCAACAGAAACGACAAGCGCTTCAAAAAGCAAGGCTGACTCCGCCACAGAGGCCCTATCTGAAGGACTGAACCATGATACTCGAAACTTCTGTAGTACACCCCCTCCCAGTCCAGAGGCAGAGCGTACACACCCAAGCCTTTGAATCTGGAACTGGAGAGACAAAAACATACTTAAGTTAAGGAATTTATTACTGAAATGAAATCAAATGCGTATTTTATATGATACTCATATCATATGGTGTCAGCAGCACAGTTACATACACAGAAACATAATATTTTCTGTTGTTAAGGTACTTCTCTTAAATATAAATATAGAAGTTTGGGATAGATTTTCCATTGTTAAGGCACTTCTCATGAATATAAATCCAGAAGTTCCAATTCCTTGAACTGCAGGAACAGACAAAAATATTTCTGTTTCTTGGGCGTTTCATTGACGTTTCTTGTTGATACCTTAAGGAACAATAAAAAAAGAAGGCCAAACGCTTATTATTAAAAACAAATTAAAGTAAAGCGTAGTCCTCAAGGATACCACCATGGCAATACATACCAATCAGTTCATCAGCTTCCTATGAAAGACATATACTCCGAATGGACAGAGCAATTGCAGTCCAACATCCCCGAAAATAAAAGAATGCATGTTACGCGGTGTTCTCGAAACATTTGGAGAAAATCTTTAATAATCAACCCATTCTGAAACATGTTCCAAAAAAGTGTAAAAATTGTATTTTTATAACAACTTTTGTCACTTTAAATCCTAGATTACGTTTTATAATCATAATATTTGCTTACCATTTTATATGGTGATACGTTATGCCTAAATACACAGTTCAGCTTCGTCTGACCTGGTCACACTTTCGCCCAGGATTGATTCTAGAATTATTAACACCATGTTAATGCTGACGTCACTCATCTATTTATATATAAATCTTACCTTGTCCCCATGGTGACCATTAAGAAAGTGGTGACTCCATTCATCAGTAAGGTAGAGCTTAGAAGGTCTCTCCTAATGTCTGGGAATTCGTTCGCACAAGCGATGTCTGATACGAACGAAGATACAACCAGGGAAGACGACAGTGCAATCAAGGCTTGCTGAAAAAGAGATCTACCATAAATATCTAGGAAACACATTTCGACTAAACAGGTATTGATACATTTCATAATATGTACACATTTAAGGATGAACTCTTCTGAAAAATTAAAAAAAAAAAAAAAAAAAACAAGTATTCAACTTTTTTCTGGTAATGATTTCTTGAAATGTTTGATTTTAGAAGTAAATTCAAAGCAAAACACCAATTTTTCCGCACTACTTTTTACATTGAAGTCGTCAGAATATGTCAGTACATAATTCGCTTTCATATGTTATTTTTTCCCCCTGAATAACAGTTATTCCTTGTTATTTTCACGGTAAACGTTTCTTAGAATGAATTGTTGTCTTTCGTTACAATGGAAGGGTATGCTACTTGGATATTTACAGATTAATAATTCGAAAATGCTTTCATTTGATTGAACGAGTTTTATACTTCAGATCATCCAAATGAAATGAAAATAATCCAAAATGACTAAAATTCTTTATCTGACCATCTTTTCATTATTGTAAAAGAAGGAGTCTCGAAGCTTTCAAATTAATCAGTTTGTTTCCAATATCAAGGAACATGCCGTAATATTGCTCTCGTGTCCTACAAATCCGTGCAAGTGGTTGACAAAGACGGAATTCACGAATTTGACATCTATATTGATAATCCATGTATTTTTATTTTTTTTTTAAATATACCCAAGACTTCCAAAGTTATGCTCGGGAGAAGTACCTTAGCAAACAGAAGATTGTTCACGCTATAAACCAAATCACGCCGTCAACTACGCCGTCAAAAAAAGTAGTCCACGCGTGAAATTTCTTCAAAAAAATATTAAATTTGAATTTGTTTAGGTTATAAGTACAACTACAGATAAAAAAGTGTTTAAGAATAAAAAGTCCAAGATGTTGGCAGTCATTTTTATTATGTCTTACTTCCGGCGAAATGTCAAAGGAATATATCCTTAATATTTTTTAAAATAATGTAGGGATCTTTTCTTCAGGAAGCAAGTGGTAATTAACATATGTTTATGATATATTATGATAACTTAGCAGACAGCCTTGTTTATACTGACGAGGTACATACGTGTTGTGTAATTGTAAGGTTGACACCGGGTACTTACCTGAAAGGCAACGAAAATAGCAAGACGGATGGACACTCTGTCTGAAACGTTGTACAAAAGCGTCGGAACTTCTTCACACTCGACTGTCACTTCGTCCTCACCATTCGGAACCAGTTTGTCCCCCGTGTCGTCAGTCGTAGGAGTTGAAAGTCTATCATTTTCGGCCATGGTGCTGATGGTAACGCTTCTGTCTGAGAAGATTATACCAAATTGGTATTAAAAGGTATGACGGAAAGTCGAGAATATTATTGATTAAATGTTGAATCTTATTGTAAGATTATCCCTGAATTAAATGCCATATTTTAAAATGTACCTGGTGAAATTTATGAAATGGACGAACCTTCTCTATTCATAAAGCTTGACACATTTAATGTTTTTAATAAAAAGGTAAGTGGGAAGGAGATTTGATTAATCCTAATATAAACCTTAATATCACTGACCCTCAGGTCATGTTAACATACGAAGGAACAAGTCTACAATCTTTTCCATGTAAACTTTACTGCAGTTTCTTAAATAATCGATTAACGAAATGGGTAAAAATTAATGGTAAATTGCTTGATGAACAAAATGGATTCCGTAAAGGTGGTAAGTCATATCTACTACTCCTTATACAGTAGTATGAATAACTTAAAGAACGCTAAACAATCCATTTCTATTATTTATTGGTTTACAGAAAATATTCGATACGTTAGATAGAACATGTGTATGGTATACTTTACAACCTATTGGAATTAAAGGAAATATATGCAATGCTTTACTTTCTTTAAGTTTAGCTCAAATCACATGATTTGTAAAATGAATTAAGATGATTTTTTAAAATGTCTTAAAACAAAGTTAAAGTTCAGTTCTCATTTTACTATGAAGATATAGCGACAAGGAAAACACTTACATACACAAACAAGGAACTGAAGTACTATTTACAATAATATGCTTTCACTTATCATATCATGTCATATCATATGTTAAAATTAAGGGGGAAAGTATTCATGAAAAACTCAATAACAAAAGCAATGGGTTAGCAGAGTTTTGTGACAGTTAAAAAGAAAGTTATATAAACTTGCAAAACTTTAAAGATTCTATTGAAAATTATCTGATAATAAAACTCATTAAAACAGTAAAATTTAGATGCAAAGTTTTCACTACATCTTCAAGTAACTGTTTGAAATACTTGAATGTAAAAACAGACATGTAGACTCTAAAAAGACCATTCAAACGTTTTAACTATGATTAGGTTCATCGTTTACAAAAGTAACTAGATCAGTGAGACATAAAATAAAACAGGTTACTATAACAACCATATTCAAACAAAACATACACAGAAGAGTAGAAGAAAACAAATATAGAAATTTGTTATGTAAACATTCGAAAATGTTTTGGATTGTTAATGCTAGGTGACAATCCAAACCAGGGACATTGACTTCCGTTCACTACAGCAACTGTAAGAGAATCCAGTTGTTATTTTAAATCCAAAATTTCGTGAACACTTCTCAGCTCTCATACTTTCCACCAGCTGCAAGTGTGTTAGACACACATACGCACTGAAAACTTCTAGAAAACACCAACATCGTAACAACATAATCATAATTCAAACTCAAATTCAATAAAACTAGGGCAAAATATGAAAAAAGAAAAATTCCCACGGGAACAAATACTATCTAAGTGCATGATGTGACCCTGAACCACTCTGAGGCTACTGAAGCGTGAAGCTGACTTTGATACCCAAACTACATTGTATATATAATACATTGTACACATATGGCATGATATATGAATTACGACCAGTCAATTTAAATAAAACGTGTATAAGTTGATAACAGGAACAAGAAACGTCGCAACATCTATACACACCTAAAAACGCAATGAAATTGTAGAACATGCATCAAGGTCTACGGAAAATTGAGAATCGCCAAACAAAAGAATTTCTATATCCCACGCAACGCTCCAATCATTTAAATTTTGAACTAAAATCTTTCGTTCGAGAAACGTTCACATTCAATGAAATAGTGAAAGACATTATCACAAGGATAACCACATTCACAAGATGCATTCTCAAAGAGATTACCTCTAAAATGGTCATAATTAAGGGAACAGCAATGGTGTCGGAGCTAAGTATGCAATGTATTAAGTTTGCGATTTCCAATTTTATAGTAAATTGGTGGACTAGACTGATTATTTGATGTTAAACAAGATTTTAATGAATTAATAGTGGGTTGGGATCGAACCGAATTTTCAAAGTTATTCCACCAGTAAAGAGTAGAATGTAGAAAAGAAGAATTAGTTAGAGACAGTCTGAAAGGAGGAATCCCATAACTATTATTGTTACGTAACTCGTAACGATTGTTTTCGCCAGATAAAGGCAACAAACGATGATAGAGGTATTCAGGCATTAACTTATTATGCATCTTATACATTAGTTGAAGTTTCCTATTTTTTTCTGCAGTTAGATAGGGTTTCAAGACCCGTTTCGTTGGTAATTATATCATTGGTAATAGGATCTGTAAGAGAAGGTATAGGTTGTGACGTATCAGACGTTTTAATTAACCTTTACATTAATTTCCAATAAGACTTTGGATCCGAGGACGAATATCAAAGACATTTTCATAAAAATGTGCATGCTTTTTCGTGTTATTAACTTTATTTCGCTGTGATTTAAATTTATCAATAACTACCAAACGTTTGGTTGACCTCGATATTTTATGAAGGCTATCCCTACTTCTTAAGTTTTTTTCGAAGTTCAGAGGTCATCCATGGCTTGTCATTAGAGTGTATATTTACTTCTTTGCAGGGAATACATTCATTAGCAAAGGACAGAAATATGTCTATAAAACGATCACATGCAGAATTAACCGTGTCACAATTATAAAAAAATGTCTATCCACTTATAATTAGATAAAAGTTCACCGAATTTTGCGAAATTTGCCCTCTTGTACTACCAAATTTTACGTTTAAAGGTTGGTTTAAAAGGGAAAGAAATATTAATTGAAGCCGTACACCCATCATGGTCACTATCTATCAATAGAAATTACAGAAGAGTCAATACAGGAAATAGAATCAGATAATAGTATAGGATCTAGTACGCCCAGTACGAGTAGGATCTGTTATAACATTAGTTAGTGACAAGGAGTTAACGATATCAAATAGCACATGATTATTTGAAGCAGTGAGGAAGTCAACATTTAAATCCTAAGTTACTATAGCATTAGGAGACATATCAATAGCATTATTTACAGATAACCTGATCATTTCTCAAAACGGTAAGTTAGAGTTTTCTGATCTATAAGCCATTCCAATAATGTAAATAGAGTGAGGAAGGCTAATTTTAGTCCATATTACCTCATCACCAGGATATTCTAATTCAGGCAAACGATCAACTTTCAAAACACTATTTATATAAACCAAAATACCATCCCCGACAAAATTTCTATCAAGTCTAAAAGGAGAATGAAAACCATCAATGCATAAACCATTGGTAGTAACCTGATCATCTTTATGAGTTTCGGTTAAACACACAACGTCATATTTATTTACCATGTCTTCAATGTAGTCTAATTTATGTCTAACACTCCGAACATTTAATTAATTTATGTAGGATTAACATTAACAAAATCATTGAAAATTAAAAAACCAATAAAACACAATATTAAACTGATGAATTAACGAAAATAGAGAGCTATGCAATCGATGAAGCAATTTAAAAAAGAATTTACACCAAAACAAAAGTGATAAATGACGTCATCAAACATCTTCTGTAGACCTTACAATAAAAGGTACCGATCGCTATTCTATGTCACAAAAAAATACCCATTTTCAAATGTGAAACTCAAGCATGAAGTAGAATAACTGATCGGTATCTTGAATTTCATGATTAAATTATAGTGTTTAAACCACATTTGAAACTGACAAAACTTATAGAAATACAATTAAACGAACAAACAGGACATGTCGTGTAAACAAAAAGCACTGAATTGGCAAAAAAGAGCAAAGTCACGTGAAGTAATGATAAGACTAATATGAAGGAAGTCGGTAGAGTGAAGCACGTTTACGGTTTGGATCGTGTGGTGACTATATATATATTTGATATAAACTATGAAAATTAATCAAGGAAAAATGCATTAACATATATGAGGGTATCAATCAATCATTTATAATTCATACTTGAATCACTGGTAAGATTTGCTCACAATTAATGTAAAATGACGATATAATTTGACATAATGGGCAATGCCTGGACAGAACGCAAAACACAACAAAATGGGTTTGTACCTTATCCTGTTAGCGCGTGTCCTCATATACCACTTCGTGTAGACACATAACACGTTTTAGTTGTGAATACAGGAGAGAAAAAATAATAGAACAAGAGTGCCGAAATGGGCAAGCACTGAAAAGTTTACTACGGACGTCCGTGTGGTAGCACCCCTTTACCCAGACCGCACAGGTAGCAATACTATACAGACACTTATATCCCTTCAATTAATCATATGTCCTTCAGTCCCGTGCCTTGGTAATCTTTCCAATCCTTCATGGAAGACTGATCGTTTTTCCATCTTCGTCGGGGGATCCCAGAGAAAAACTGCCATTCTATTGAAAACACAACCACCCACATACATCACATACAATAGCGTGCATATTTACATATTAGATACCCAGCATACAAACACGTATGGTGTAACGGGTACTGTGCAACGCGTGGGAAATATATGTTCACCTAACGACATGTTATATATCATAAGAAAGAATGCAAGCATTAACTATAACTGCTCACATTCATAACGTGTACGACTATAAATTGTACGTGTTCTATCAGTTTATTTACGAATAACTACTAGTGGTTATATATGAATTCAAACTAATTCAAACTTAGACACATGAACTTTGTGTAAATTGTGAACAAAGCTCATATACCTGAATCATTATATATATATAAACACTATCATTTATTGTTTCTACACACACACACCATAACCTGGACAATAGGAAGGACCTCACACAGGTTACTCGGGAATACATTAGAATTACATTTTTCTATGCTGTCGAAATTATGTTTGAATCCATTTTACGGGTACTCACAATGTGTATACAAATATATATGCATGAATTTGCCCGGATTGTACAATGGTACAGTTTATATCAAAACGCACCCACAATACCATACCCACTCGTTTCCATGT